CTTTTTGTTGTTAAATCTGAGGATGATATCCCTAAGATTGTCAGGTAGACTTTCTCGGTAATTTCCCCAGTTTGTTCGTCTTGGGTTTCTTATCCATTCCGTTTCTTTTAATGTGTGGATGGACATTCTTATGGTTTGATGATCGGATGTTGAGAGGTCCTTTGAGACCCTCCAGTCTCCAAACATGTCTGCCACTCTATCCGTCCCCAGAGTGATATCTATGACCTGTCATCTCCGATCTATGAGGGTAGGTTCTGACCCCCTATTAAAGATATTTAGACCTGCCCCCATTATGAATTCCTGGAGGCTTTCCCCTCTGCCGATAATGCCGGTGCTCCCCCATACTACATGGTGCGAGTTGGCATCACAATCTAGCAGCAGTTCAAGTCCCCTTTCCTTTACATGGTTGCATAGGTCCTTTACTTTTTTCGAAGGAGGTGGTTCAGCCGAGTCATAGGGCATGTAAACTGACCCTACAACCAAGCTCATTTCCTCGCCTTGTCCCAGGCCCAGATCCACTTGTGCCACAGCCAGGTCTCCCTCACTGGCCTGTGAACAGACGAAAGAGTCTAGTCCTTTAATAACAATACAAGATCTAATTTTTTCCTGATTGTTTGCGTGATAGATTTTGCTACAACCACTGAGGCCCTTAATGGCATTGTCCACTATCCATGGTTCTTGGATCAATGCTATGACTGTCTGCATCCCAGCTAATAGCCTGACGAGAGAAGCCGAGGCTGCTTTGCTGTGATGCAAATTTATCTGTACAATATGCACCCGGGTTGCAGCCATAATGATGACTACTTTCCTGGTACCTCTATGTACTCTTCTTCTGACCTTCAGCACGGTCTTTCGCAGGCAGCTTGACAGTTGCTTTGTGAATCCCGCAGTGCAATCTAAAGTTGCAGGCTTTCAGAACAGAGAGTGATCGGTCGTCTATCAGCGCAACGAAGTGGGCACTTTTCGCGTCCCTGCTCTCACTGCCCGAGCGACAACCCACTTTCTGGCCTGCAGTCCTGCATTCTGTTTCTCAAGGAAGCACAGTACAACCCTGTGCTTCTTGGGAAGCTCCGAGGCTGCGACCACACCTACAGTAAGCCCAGCTATTTTGTTTTCGGGGAAAAGGCTTTTCAGCCAATTTCCCGTTTCCTCATCAGTGCAGTACACCATTGTCACACCTTCTCTTTCCCAGACACCGTTAAAGGTGGTTGCTTTCACCCCGTCAAGTAACGCCAGAATGGCCCCCTTCAGGAGTTTCTTCACCTCCGTTACCTCTTCAGTACCGTTTCTGATCCGGATATGACTCCGGCATAATTGCAAACTTGAAAGAGCTCGCAGTATTCTGAGCATATGTGCCCTGATCCTGCGTTCTCATTCTCTTTTCTTTCGGTCTGACTGAGGGGCTTGGCGTGGTACGCTCCGATGGAAGGCGTTTTATTGCCTTCCTCACAGCCCCCTCCCCCTTCTCCTCATCGACCTTCGCTGCTGTATCCGCCAAGGTTGCAATCGCCCCCGAGGTTTGATGCAGCTTCGCTCTCTTGCGACGTCTTCTCTCGGCTCCACTCAGTCTGACCCGATTCACATCGGTACCAGACTGGTCAGCCTTGTCAGACTTCGTGTGTTCGCCATCGCTGGTCCCACCCGAAGTTACTTTTTCAATACTGAGATTTTTTAGATTGGTTTCCATTTTTGGTCCCACGAGTACCGCGGTTAAGCGTTTTGAAAATAGAAAATTTCATATAAAAATCTATGGAAAGTGTCAGTTTCATCGAGATACGCGATAGCGTATCGGCCAAGTAACCGTTTTGAACTCCATTAACCGTTTTGAACTCCAATCGAACCGCCGAGCGCTATGCGTATCTATACACGAAGTCCCTACCCCCTCCACTACTTCTCCATAATAATTCTTCGATTCAGTTAAATAGGTTCATATGACACAAAAACGGACTGCAGTTTCATCATAAAAATCGACTATGTTCTTTCAATAAATGTCATTACTTTTCTTTTCCCAAAAATATTTGTGAAAATATATGCGTTTCAATTTTTTCGATTCTACTTTTTCATGATCGCGATTAACTTTCGTGTGAAATTCTGTTTTCGAAGTTGGCAGTAGACTCCGACCAAAGAGGATTGGCTAAAGTAGAGGCTCAAATCTCAAGGTTCAAGTGACCGCAAGCCAAATATTGTATGACCCCAACGGAGGAATGGCGCCACGGTCGAATCTGACGGCTGGGCGAGCTGCCTGTGCCGGTAACTTGGCAGTAGCAGTCCCGCTGTCACAGGGATAGTTTCGGAGAGCAACTTATGCCCTCCTCATCCTCAACATGTTCTTAATGTTTTTCAGGTGATTCATTTGCTGGCTAATTAATATTAAGGGATGACACACAGACGGTGTGATGGAGGATTAAATTCCCCATCAATCGATCCTCGTTGCATCCCTTAATCTCTGTAACAAAATAATTTTCTTCTCGGCAAACAGTGACTTTTCACCATTCGCCCGCGAATTAAAAATTTGTCTCTCCCTTCCTAATTGAAATTAAGGGATGAAAAAAAGACTGTTTGACGGAGAACTAAATTACCCATCAATTAACCCTCTTTCATCCCTTAATCTCTGTAAGAAATGGAAGAAACTGTCATGAAAATCACAGCGCAGTAAGAAAAATAATTGTTTTGCGGCGCGCAGTGACTACCGTTAATTAAAAATTCACCCCTCCTCTCCTAATTGAGATTAAGGGATGAGAACAGAGCATTTCGACGGAGAATAAAATTCGCCATCAATTAACCCTCTTTCATCCCTTAATCTCTGTAACAAAAAAATAGGAGGGGAGAGACAAATTTTGAATTCGCGGGCGAATGGTGAAAAGTCACTGTTTGCCGAGAAGAAAATTATTTTTCGTGTCACGGGATCTGAAAAACCCCATTTTCAGCTCCCGTGAACCAAGCCAAATTTGCGTTTTGCAGGTCCCTCGACACAAAAACTAATATACACACCTCGCCATGGAAAACATATCACCCTCCCCCACGTGCTTGCCATCTTCGCCTTCGGCTCGGAAGGCAGTCTTGCACGTGGGGGACGGTGATCTATTTACCATGGCTCGGGCATGTAATGTACTATTTCTCACTGGCCCATGACTTTTGTCGTAGTTTGTATTTTTTTGTTACAGAGATTAAGGGATGCAACGGGGATCAATTGATGGGGAATTTAATTCTCCATCACAGCGTCTGTGTTTCATTCCTTAATATTAATTAGCCAGCAAATGAATCACCTGAAAAACATTAAGAACATGTTGAGGACGAGGAGGGCATAAGTTACCCTCCGAAACTATCCTTGTGACAGCGGGACTGCTACTGCCGAGTTATCGGCACAGGCAGCTCGCCCAGCCGTCAGATTCAACTGTGGCGCCATCCCTCCGTTGAGGTCATACTATTTTTGGCTTGGGGTCACTTGAACCCCGAGATCTGAGCCTCTACTTTAGTCAATCCTCTTTGACGTGAATTGTGGGTAAAGGCCTGCGCACAATCAAAAAGCACAAGCGATAACCAATGCTCATGCGTATAGTGTACGATAATAACAAGTGGTGGACGAGAAACAGAAAATTTCCCTCCTTGCCGTATCTACTGAGATATCAATAAATGGTGAGTAATTATCTTTTTATCACANCTCAACATGTTCTTAATGTTTTTCAGGTGATTCATTTGCTGGCTAATTAATATTAAGGGATGACACACAGACGGTGTGATGGAGGATTAAATTCCCCATCAATCGATCCTCGTTGCATCCCTTAATCTCTGTAACAAAATAATTTTCTTCTCGGCAAACAGTGACTTTTCACCATTCGCCCGCGAATTAAAAATTTGTCTCTCCCTTCCTAATTGAAATTAAGGGATGAAAAAAAGGCTGTTTGACGGAGAACTAAATTACCCATCAATTAACCCTCTTTCATCCCTTAATCTCTGTAAAAAATGGAAGAAACTGTCATGAAAATCACAGCGCAGTAAGAAAAATAATTGTTTTGCGGCGCGCAGTGACTACCGTTAATTAAAAATTCACCCCTCCTCTCCTAATTGAGATTAAGGGATGAGAACAGAGCATTTCGACGGAGAATAAAATTCGCCATCAATTAACCCTCTTTCATCCCTTAATCTCTGTAACAAAAAAATAGGAGGGGAGAGACAAATTTTGAATTCGCGGGCGAATGGTGAAAAGTCACTGTTTGCCGAGAAGAAAATTATTTTTCGTGTCACGGGATCTGAAAAACCCCATTTTCAGCTCCCGTGAACCAAGCCAAATTTGCGTTTTGCAGGTCCCTCGACACAAAAACTAATATACACACCTCGCCATGGAAAACATATCACCCTCCCCCACGTGCTTGCCATCTTCGCCTTCGGCTCGGAAGGCAGTCTTGCACGTGGGGGACGGTGATCTATTTACCATGGCTCGGGCATGTAATGTACTATTTCTCACTGGCCCATGACTTTTGTCGTAGTTTGTATTTTTTTGTTACAGAGATTAAGGGATGCAACGGGGATCAATTGATGGGGAATTTAATTCTCCATCACAGCGTCTGTGTTTCATTCCTTAATATTAATTAGCCAGCAAATGAATCACCTGAAAAACATTAAGAACATGTTGAGGACGAGGAGGGCATAAGTTACCCTCCGAAACTATCCTTGTGACAGCGGGACTGCTACTGCCGAGTTATCGGCACAGGCAGCTCGCCCAGCCGTCAGATTCAACTGTGGCGCCATCCCTCCGTTGAGGTCATACTATTTTTGGCTTGGGGTCACTTGAACCCCGAGATCTGAGCCTCTACTTTAGTCAATCCTCTTTGACGTGAATTGTGGGTAAAGGCCTGCGCACAATCAAAAAGCACAAGCGATAACCAATGCTCATGCGTATAGTGTACGATAATAACAAGTGGTGGACGAGAAACAGAAAATTTCCCTCCTTGCCGTATCTACTGAGATATCAATAAATGGTGAGTAATTATCTTTTTATCACATCATTAATCCTGAAATAACTTCTTTATATTTTCTCTCAAGTTATTTTAGAAATTGATTCATTTATTTCATGCTTTCCTTATCTCCAAAGACTTGACGCGACCCACGTGTCATTTTTAGGTTATGGTGCATTAAATAAATCTTCATCTCATTTGAAACTTGTCCACGTGCAATTGAGAGGTTATATTTGATGAAATAATCCAGAAATTATAGAAGAGATGGGGGCAAAACGGACACCTTGAGGAAAAAACCAATTTCTTCTCGAGAAAATATGCTTGAGAACTTCCAAATAGCTTGAAGTATAACCACAAAAACAGACAAGGCCTGTTCATGAAAATATTTGGTACGATGGGTGGGGGCAAAACGGACACCCTCAAAATTTGACTGAATCTGCGACTTCTTCATATTTTTTTATATTTTACAATGTTATTCGGGTACAGGCTACAAAATGATAAAAACACTTAGGGGAGGGTGGGCTAATATGGACATCTGGGGTAAAATGGACACCTGACAAATCCGCATATGAACACTTCCAAAAATGGACACTCAAATTTTTAGAAAAAAAATCATGTTTTCAAAATTTGAACTTTCGACAATTGTTTTGGATCAAAATAGACACTTCAAAATTTTTTGTTTTTTTTCCAAAATTCAAATTTTGTAAAATGGTTTCGGAGCAAAACAGTCAGTTGCTAGATAAATCGGTCTATGAGTAGAAGAAAATAAATACTTGAAAAATACTTCAAAATTTTTGCTTTTTCAAAATTTTCCAAAATATTTCAAAATTTTTACTTTTTTCAACACACTTGGAGAACGTAATAAAACCTTCGAAATGAGACGGCAAATGTTCAATAAATTTATGAATATTTGGATGAATATTGATATTGCGATGAATATATATTTTTTAACTTGAAAAACGTAATAAAATCTTCAAAGTGAGACTGCACTCATTGCATTAAGATAATGCACGAAATTATGAATATTTTCGCGTTAACTGAAATCAGTCTTCCTTAGTAGTTTACAAATTATTGATATAAGTCAGCGGACAGAAAAATGACCAAACATTGCTATTAGTGATAGAATTATTCAAAGAACCAATGAATTTTTTTTTATATTGAATGGAAAAGCAGGATGAGATGGAATTAACCCCTGGGCAAAATGAAACTCCCATTAATTCTTAATTTTCATAGATTTTGGATTACATCGCATGAGGCGAATCATATGAGAAATTTAAGGTTAAATCGGTGAACCTCTGGCCATTTTTCTGCATCCCTAATTACTGGGATTGAAAAATTCAATTGAAATTTTTTCCTTATAAATTACTGCATTAAAAATATGTTATTTGGGTGCCATTCGGGAATGGACAAAACTCGGATTTCATTCAATTATTCACAGTTTTTCGATTAAAATTACAAAATTTTCATTGAAAACTATCAACGTTTTCCGGAATGACATCGATTTTATTGGCAGGAATCATTTTAACCCCTCACGTACGGGGCCCTTCAGATACCGCGCGCTCGATACTCTTCGCGTTCCATATTTTTTGATGGGTGAAAAATTATAAATAAAATACATAATTGAAGCTACAGTATTCACCTTCCCAATGGTATTTGTTCGATTGCATTATCTGCCGTAGTTTCGGAAATATTCAATTTTGAAAAGAGCCGTGCGTTTTTTCATGGGTCGGTATGACATACCGACCCCCTACGTGAGGGGTTAATTAATTCTTCCCATCCAGTATCTCTCTATATAATAAAAAAATAAGCCCAAAAATTCAGGCGACGCTTGAACCGGCCCTGTGGCGACAGACGCGGCCCTGGGGCGACACCGATGCGGCCCTGGGGCGACACTGAACCGGCCCTGGGGCGACACAGATGTGGTCCTGGGGCCGACCTGACGTGATGCAAGTCGACCCGACGTGACCCGAGCCAACGTAACCCCAACCGACCTGACGTGACCTGATGTGACTCAAGCCAACCCAATCCTGACAGGTCACAGGGTGATTTTATATCTCTCTCTATATAATAAAAAAATAAGGGCAAAATTTAAGACAATTCAGGCGACGCAAAAATTCAGGCGAGACAAAAATTCAGGCGACGCCTAAAGGTGGGGGGGGGGTCAGGGGGTGCCCAAGGTCGGGGGGGGTTAGAAGGGAGGAGGGTGTCCCAGGGTCAAACGCGGTGGGGCGAAGCGAGCAGGGGGCGAAGCGAGGGGGGCTGACAGTTGGATTGGGGGGGAGCGAGCAAAGCGAGCGGGGGGGCGAAGCCCCCGGGTTTGGGGAGCGAAGCCAGCAGGGGGCGAAGCCCAAGGTCGGGGGGGTTAGAAGGGAGGAGGGTGTCCCAGGGTCAAACGCGGTGGGGGGGGCTGACAGTTGGATTGGGGGGGAGCGAGCGAAGCGAGCGGGGGGCGAAGCCCCCCGGGGTTGGCGAGTGAAGCGAGCAGGGGGCGAAGCCCCCTCGTAGATTTAATATAAACCAATGAAGAAGCGCTAATTCTCCAAACATTAATCCACATTTGCCATGTTTTCTAGAAATTATTTTTTCTATTTTATATTCAATGGAATATTCAATATGCAATAAAGAAAAATAGTCCAATTCTGAATAAACACTGCCAACATCATTAGTATCATTATTCATTCCATCAAGGGTCATTTTATGAAAGTATCCATTCAATCAGGTGGAATTATCTGGGATTGAGATGTAAAATATTATGATATCCGAATTTCCCAACGTTTCTAATATTTCTGAACATTTGTATTACAGAGTGATTTTGCTCAATCTTAGGGAGTGCCACCACAACCACCACCACCACCGCCACCACCACCACCACCACCGCCACCGCCACCACCACCACCAATGGATCAGGAAGAGGAGCAGCAGCAACAACAGCAAGACCAAGCTCCGCAGGATCAAGGTCAGCAAGATCAACCGCAGGCCCCACCCCTACAACAGGACCCTGGACAGGACCCTCCCCAAGATGATGATAATATCCCACTCCATCTGATTGCCAATCTTCGAGACGGAATGGATCTATTGCAGAGGTAGATTGAGAGAAATCTACGAGCTGGTAGAGGCGGCAGAGGTTTGAATCAAGGGAAACAGAGAGGAGGACGGAATCAGCCAGCAAGGGGTGGCGATCATGTGCGGCGAGGAGAGAATGGGAGAGGAGCTGGGAATAATCGAGGAAGAAATGAGAACAGAGAGAATCGAGGGAATCAGGCAGCAAGAGGCGGTGATCGTAGGCGTCGAGAAGAGAATGGGAGAGTTGCTGGGAATAACCGTGGAGGAGGAAATCAGGCAGCAAGAGGTGGCGATCGAGAGAACCGAGGAGGGAACGGGAGAGATGCTGGGAACAATCGACGAGGGAGAGGGGGTGGAAGAGCTGGGCAGAACCTCGACCGCCGTAACGCTATGTAAGTTGTTGCAGTAGTTTCACTTCTGATCACGTATGAAAAAATTTAACTGAAAAATGTAGAGCTGTCGCGGGTTTATTCAATTTTCATTGGAACTTTATGAGAATTCTCTTGAAGTTCTATTAGAATTCTGTTGAAAAATGTTATCAGTTTTTTTCTTATGCATCAATTCCACAAAAGATATAAAAAATTCATCATGTCATTTTGTTCAGATATTTCCATTTGTTTCTCATGATGGAGTACAAGAAAAAAACTCAGAAAATCATAACCAAGGATTTCTTATAGAAAAGATCCCAACAGAATAATTTATGTGGAACAATCATCATTTATAAACTTCATTCTATGAATGAATATCTATTCGAAATAGGTAATAGGAAGTTGCATAATTTACAGGGAAAAAGAAAATCAGACGATAAGAGATTCAAAGGAATTTGATTGAATTTCTATTGGAACCACGTATGAAAAAATTCAATAGAAATTCGATAGAATCTCTCTAACAATTCTCTGGGAATTCAATAACAATTCCATTGGAATTCTATTGGAAATTTCTATTCGTTTTTTGCGTCATTGCTGTAGAAGATATTTAATAGAAAAGTCAATAGATTTTTTTTTCTATAAGAATTCTTGGGCATGAATTTTCCAAGTTTTTCTTCTTGGGGTTTATTATGAGAAACAAATTTAAAAAATACAGCGGAAAAAATTTACAAAATATACGCTCATAAATTTCATAGAAGAATGAAAATCTATTGACTTTTTTATTAAATATCTCCTATAGAAATGGCGCAAAGAACAAATGGATGGAATTTTCCAGAAGAATTGTTATAGAATTCCAATAGAAACTCGATAGAATTTCTCCTATAAACCAATAAGCTGAATAATTTTGAATATAGAATTGACGCAGAAAAATATGATCCTCCAATAGAATTCTGATAGAACCTCGATAGAATTCATATAGAGCTTGAATTAAATACCAATGCAATCGAATTCTCAGAAGAAAACGCTCGATTTTCGTATTAATATTTTTCATATGTGATGTGTCAGGATTTTTTTCGCATACTAAATTTTCTAAATGAATGTCACTGTGAGCATTACGGTTATTTTATGTGCTGAGTTTGATGAGTGAGGAGGGATGACATTCCTTGATAGAATTAATTCTCTTTTCCTAGCTCTTATTATTCAGTATAAAACCTGTTCAATTTAAAACTCCATTATCCCCTTCAACTCCGAGATATTTTGTAAGAGCTGATGGTGATGGGTCATCTTGTTCTACTATCTCACTAATGACTTCAATTTATCCTCAAGCACATCCTCGCTTTTCATCTCACCACTCCCTCTCTCTATTTTAACTACTCTTCACGGTTTCTTCTTCCATCTTTCTTTCAGATATTGGAAAGGAAAATATCACCAGAGGAGGGACAATGAGCCACGTAGAGGGAGCGGCGGCGGTTCCGTCATTTACCAATATTATCAGTAGTTGATATTTCGGCTTTGGGTTTCATATGATGGTAAATATTGATGAATTTCCGTGATTATTATATGAATGGGTTAATAGTGGATTCATTGATTGAGATAAAAAATTGATTCAGTTCATTCAAAAGTGTTTCAGTCATTCGATTTGTATGAAAAAAATAATTGGAATCGAACTGCATTGATTTTTTCCTCAATATAATCCACTGTTAACGCATTCATTCCATGATTGGGAGAAGTTCATGATGCTTGCGCAGTCTCTTCCTACTCTTTCGTCCAGTTTTCATAACTATTCAAAAAAAGGAGTCTTCATATTTGTAAGTTCTATTTTATCTTAATCATCATGTGACATCTAATAAGTAAAATCATATGATGTTCTCTTTTGCAGATCGTTCTATAAGGACACAGAGAAGGCTGGTTTGAGTCCAAAAATTGTTCCTACGATGATCCAAAGAAGTAAGAATTTATATTAAAAATCATTATGAATGACACGAGCAAAAAAATCAAGCACAAAAAATTAACTCTCTTCTTGAGATATTCTATTGAATTTCTATTCGAACTCTATAAGTGCTATTAGAAATCCTAAAAAGTTCTATTATAATTTTTATCAAAATATTTTATTTTTTGTTTTTCACATCGTTTCTATAGAAAATTATGGAACTTCACCGTGTCCTTCGGTTGAGAGATATTTGATGAAAAAAGTCGATAGATTCTAATTTTTCAGCGTAAATTTAGCAAGCATTTTCCACTGGTTCTCACAGGAAAATTTAAGAAAAAAAAATTAGGAAATCCATACCCAAGAATAGTTATAGAAGAAATCCCGACAGAATGCATAATTTTTAATACAATAGGCGTCAATAATGAATCGAAATTTTCGATAGAATTCGTTTAAAACTCCAATAGAATATTCATAGAGTTCCAATAGATATTCAGTTGAATTTCTTAGATAAAATGCTAGATTTTTCCATCCAATTTTTTTATACGTGCTATAATTTATTCATGTGCTTTCTATTAATACAGGTGTTTCTACGAGCATTCCAGGATGGATCTCCGAGATAGAAAATGATTGGACTTGTTTATGCATTTTCTTACTTGATTTTTGTTGGATGAGAACAAAAGTTCTCCACTATGTCCTTGAATAATGAAAAAAACATGTACTTCCTCAAAGGAAAAAGATGTACTTGATTGTTTTTAAGGAATATATTTTTTTATGATTAAAATAACTCGTTTTGGATAATAAAAAAAATAGAAAATTTGAAAAATGATAAAAATATACTAGATAAGGAATTTTTCAGTATAATTGAAAATTTGAATGTAATTAGTGTTGCCGCCGCTAGGTGGTGATGAGTCGATAAAGCACTAAATTCTTTCAATGACTGTACCGATTCAGTCAACAGCTGATATTCATCCGTTCGTAGCAGAATTTTTGAAGAAAAACGGCTGTGAATTAATAATTTCCAGTGAGTTCACATTACTGTATACTATTTACTGTATGGGATATTCCATGTGAACTCACCCAGGTCAAAACCCTCACCATCGCCAATAATATTGCCGATTTTTCCTGTGGTTGTATATGGAAAAATATGACTTCTCAAATTTTTTCAGATTTTTTGAGGCATCTTGTGGACAGCCATGTTTTTTTGCAAGTTTTATCTTCAAATGCCTGTAACTTCCGTAAAAATGAACCGATTTGAGTTTTTTTTTAATAAAATGTGCGTCTTCGAACACACTTTCCATATAAAAATATGCCAATTTTTTTCAATTTGTTCTTCCATCGATTTCCTCAGAAATGACTCAAAAAACTTCAAAAAACGCGTCGTTTCCAAAGTTGGATCTTTTTTATATTTTTCAAAAAATTTCNTTCAAATGCCTGTAACTTCCGTAAAAATGAACCGATTTGAGTTTTTTTTTAATAAAATGTGCGTCTTCGAACACACTTTCCATATAAAAATATGCCAATTTTTTTCAATTTGTTCTTCCATCGATTTCCTCAGAAATGACTCAAAAAACTTCAAAAAACGCGTCGTTTCCAAAGTTGGATCTTTTTTATATTTTTCAAAAAATTTCATTGAATATATTGGACCAAAACAAAATTTTTCACCAAAGGCCAAAGTGGGCTTCCCCTTTCGTGGCCGTCATTTCCAATTTGAATAGATGAATCTGGGATCAAAAATCTCAAAAACTTCAAAATTCTTTTCGAATTTGAACGCAGAAGCATAATTTGAATTTACCGCTTGAAGAATCACTGAATTATATTCGAATCTGGAACAATTTGATTATTTTTTGAAAATTCGTTAACAATAAATCTTTCCGAGTGGTGTGTCCTAATAGAGATTCCAGTTTGGCCTTTGGTGAAAAATTTTATTTTGGTCCAATATATTCACTGAAATTTTTTATAAAAAATATNGAAAATTCGTTAACAATAAATCTTTCCGAGTGGTGTGTCCTAATAGAGATTCCAGTTTGGCCTTTGGTGAAAAATTTTATTTTGGTCCAATATATTCACTGAAATTTTTTATAAAAAATATAAAAAGGGTGCAACTTTGAAAACGACTCGTTTTTTGAAATTTTTTGAGGTTTTTCTGTGGAAATCGATGGAAGAACGAATTGAAAAAAATTGGTATATTTTTATATGGAAAGTGTGTTCGGAGACGCATATTTCGTAAAAAAAAACCCAAATCGGTTGATTTTTACGGAAGTTACAGGCATTTGAAGATAAAACTTGCAAAAAAACATAGCTGCCCACAGGATGCCTCAAAAAATCTGAAAAAATTTGAGAAGTCATATTTTTCCATATACAACCACAGGAAAAATCGGCAATATGATTGGCGATGGTGAGGATTTTGACCTGGGTGAGTTCACATGGAATACCCCGTATACTATGTGGACTATATTTGACAGTGATTTTCGTGAATTACAGGAAATCGGATTCAACCTTGCATCGGACTGGATTTTTCGTCGGTTCTTAACCTGTATTTGTAGCAATTATCTTGTCAATTATTTACTCTCAGTTCTTCATTTTTACTCTCTACCTTTACTAAATGTTCCTCTTTAATTTCTTGTCGTCCTTATTTTTCCGTCCGTATCATTTTTTCTTTCGCTTGTTTTTCCCCATCCTTCCAACTACTTTCTTCTTCTCTTCTCTTTCTTATTGTAGCTCTCATTTCTACTTCTATGCAATTATCACTTACTTTAATAGTTTTATTGGGCTCTTTATCTTTCCTTCTCACTCTTGATCTCGATTGATGCTTAATATCGATTGTCTGAATATTGTATAAAAATAGAGATTTACTTCCTTTTATTTTGTCTTCAACTTTTGAGTTGATTCACTGAGCTTCTTCTGAGCTAACTTTCAACATATTTAGCTCTGTGTTAGCTACTTAGCTCATCAGAGCTGTTTTTCACATTACTCAGTTTTCTCCAAAAGAATTATTCAGGATATAATATTAAAAAAAAATGATTCTGTAACATTCAACTTTCCGAAGCGTTTGCCCATTATTATCAGCTCGTCAGGGCTGTTTCAGCTAGTCAGGGCTGTTTCAGCTAGTCAGAGTTGTACCAGCTTCTCAAAGTTGTCTCAAAGCTGTCTGTTCATCTAGGCGATCTGTTTCAGCTTATCGCAGCTGTCCGTTCAGCTAGTCAAAGCTGTCCCAGCTTCTTAAAGCTGTCTGTTCATCTATTTGATTTATTCCAGCTCATTGAGGCTACCCGTCCAGCTAATCAGAGCTGTTTCAGATTTTCGAAGCTGTCTGTTCAGCTAGCCAGAGCTGTTTGAGCTTTTCGAAGCTGTATTTTCAGCTAGTTCGAGCTGTTTCAGCTTCTCGAAGCTGTTTGCTCGATTATTCAAGACTATTTCAGCTTCTCAAAGTTGTCTATTCACTTAGTCGAGGCATTTCGGTTCTGCAAACCACTCTGTATAGCTAATTGAAGCTTTGATTGAAATTACTAAAATTTATCAGACTGTGTTAGCTTATAAACTTGACGATAAGTGAATCATCAATAAGTTAAGTTGCAGACTAAGCTATAGAAGTTAAGTCATTTGCTTGTTCAATAAATCAATTGCAATAAATTTTACCGAAAATCTTTTTATTGAAACTCACCATGCCATCCTTTGATCGTCGATTAATATTAGCAAGTGGAAACCGTGGTTGGTTGTCTGATGACGAAATTGATTACTTTGCCTTTCTCTTACACGAAAAGTTTCAATTCGAGTTCCGGGAATCCTGGAAGCTCATTATCCCAGAATTCATGGAATCCATCAATCCCAACAAGAGGCATATACATTTACTACACAGTTTGAGCGGAGATTTGGCAGATGAAAATGCCTGGCAAATGAACGGCGGACACTGGATTTGTACATGGTTTGACACCAAGACTATTTATGTATATGACTCTTTAAATTCTAATAAGCGCGAGGAATGTCATCGGAGATATTTACGAGCTTTATACCCTTCGTTTTCCATCAATAACACCAACGTCAAATTTTGCAAGGTACAACAGCAATCGAATGCATGGGGTTGTGGCGTTTCTGCCATAGCTTTCGCTGTTTCCATTGCTTTGGGTGACGAACCCGAATTAATTTCATATGACTTATCGAGGATGCGTCAGCATTTGTTGCAAATGTTCGAAACTAGAACAATTTCCGAGTTCCCAACCATCACAGTTCCTACAAAATTGAAGAATTCTCGGTAACGATTAACATCAAACTCCAGTGATCCAGTAATGAAAAAAAAGATATTATTGAATGAGAACAAAGAAAATCGACGAGTGGATAGTAAAAGAAGTTATCGCGACCGAATTCATGATGGTCAATCTCCTGCGAATAGGAATGTATCAGATGCAGTAGAGATTGGTTCAAGCAATACCAGAAAATGCCCGCTAAAATGTCTCTTTTCTGAGATAGCTGCAAATACAGAGGAAAATGTCCCCTCCACAAAGAAACGCCGAAATGTTAAAGATCATGTTTTGCGACCATTGAGTAGTGAGTTGATGGCAATCATTTCTGATAATCAAATGTTGAAAGATGAGCATATTCTACGTTTTGGCAAGATCTTGTCGAAACATTCGGATTATTGCCAACAATACACACTATTGTTGCAGAGTCCTGATTGAATCACACCAATACCTCCAGTAAAAAAACATTCAGATTCTCCATAACAATGATACTAAAGGTGAGGTAAAATTGGGTCTATGGATTTGTAGCTTCTATGATGGGAAACAATCGCTCATTACACAATGATCATATCACATTCCTACAACAACTATATCCCTTTTTTCATGTCACAAACACTTCGATACGATTCAGGACTGTGCAAACCCAAACTAACTCGGTTGATTGTGGCGTATTTTCTATCGCCTTCGCTGTAATTTTATTATTTAGAGGAAAACCAGAGATCGTCGAATATGATAGATTGTCAATGCGTGAGCATCTGCTTGGTATGTTTCAAACTATGAAGATCAGACCATTCCCGCATATTTCCAATTTCAACACTCCTCATTCATTTTCTTTGAGAGAGATTCGACAGAAGGAACAAGTCGCTTATCGACAACGTATTTCCTTCGATAGAAAATCTTCACATGAAACCGATAGCTCCGAACATTTAAGAAATGAAAAATCGAATATAGACAAATTCCGCGTTCATAGTCATTTGAATGAGAGATGTAAAAATACGTTTGACGAAATACATCAGGCAAACTCGGTTGGTCATGATAGTGAACAAATGCAGCAATTGCTAATACAGCCCCCAAGGATGATAATCATGTTTTCGATCGTTCTCTAAACGGTGAGGGAACTAGTGATAACGCATTACATGAAAAAAAAACTAATGATGATTCAAAGAGAAAACGAGTTACATTTGCAAACGAAGGGATAACTATAGCGGAAGCTAAGGAAAACCCATACAAAAAAATTATGACTAAGAAAAGAACGAAGCGTGCTATCCGAAAAAACGCTGTAAAGACTATTTCTCGCCCACAACAGACCAAACAGGAAACTATTGTGATGAAATCACGTCCTGAACAATATGTTGAGAAATTAACCGATGTGGTCAAAGCAATCGATGGATCTAGTGCAGCAGAAAGTAGTTTGGAAGCACAAAAGATAGTTAAATGGTGTATGGAACAACGTAAAAAATATATAGAAGATTTGAATCGTTGGTTAGATACACTACGCAAAACTGCAGACCATCATCTCACAGAAGTTAAGGGCAATCAAAATGATCATATCGTAACGAATCTCTGTGGTTCATCGAGCCATACACCATCCACAGAATCCTATTTCTATGAAATGATATATACATTCTGTATTCCAAAGGTATTCAAGATCGAAATGAATTCGAAAGGACAAGCTGTCAATATACTGCCTTTAAGTAAAGACAGACTACATCGTAAAGAATGTGATTGTGATATATATTGCCAAGTTCTGCAGAATGAAGATGTTCTCAGAGATTATCAAAAGTTTCTTGAATCGTTGGCAGTACAAAAGTGGCGTACTCTTCTAGGATTCGTACAAAGTTGTTTCTTTAAGCATTCGGAAGATAAATTAGGTCACGCAGTTCATTGTTATACAGAACAAAATCCATGTAAATCATTATTTTTCGCTGTTGAAATATTAGCATCTCATTTTCCAACAGTGAGGACTGTCAAGAGACTTTTATGTAAACTCAATGAAACATTAAAAAAATTAGCTCATCTGGATGACGCATTAGAATCAATGGACTTAGATACATTGCGGAAAATATCCACTGATATGAAGAGATCAGGACAATCCTTCGACTCTTCTGTAACTGGACTAGAAAATTTAGATGAAGATATAATTCAGATCAAATATAAAAAATTTTTTGTTGCCATGGCCAAACGAGGTATGGCTGAATATCCCTCCATTTTGTGTCAAAAGCTGAACCCTAGAAGTTCGGTAAGAGTCATAGAAGACCTAAAAAATGAAATTCAATGCTGCTATTGGGAACATTTGAAAGACTTTGTTAAAGATGATACCTTCTACTCCAGTGAATACATTTGTAAATATTGCCGGAACAAATTCCGGAAAAATCAGCTGCCACCAACTTGTATCATGAATAATCATGTTGTGGCGAAAGTTCCTGACGAAATAAGCCATTTGAATGACTACGAGAGAATACTTATTCAAAGAGCAAAAGTATTCCAAGTTGTGCAGAGAGCAGAAACAGTTCAGAAAAGAAACATACCACATACTATGCGTATTTAAAAACTTGTTGGTCAAACGTTCCATTTACCATTACCAATAGAAGAACTCTCAATAAAATAGCGTCAGGAACTGATCCTATTAACAAAGATCATGAACTGAATATTTTAGTTCGGAGAATCCCCACTAAAGCCAGTGTTGTTTGGCAAAAATTGGTCAATTTGGATAACGTCTTTATAGCTCTCAAATGGTTACAATCTAATAATCCACTCTACGCCAATATTCAATTGCCAGAATCGGCTCAGAATTTGATGAAGTGGTTGACTAATAATAATGTTGAGCATCAAATAGAGTCAGAAGAGAGTGATATAGACGATGATAATAATGATGTTGAAATGAAGGCTGACTTCAGCGACAGTGAAGCTCAAAATAATGATGAGAATGCATGTCCACTTGCTACAAACGATTTGGCAACAGAACCGAGCAATAAGTTATCTGGAGATAATCAACCAATACTTGAGAGAACTCGACATGCAATGCAATCATCAATATCTACCGAAGAAAAGAGAAAGAATGGAGATGTACAAATTCCATCAGCTGATACCGGAAAGGATCCTCGTAAACTATCTCCAATGGTTACTCAAATTTTCGATAGTACACCACGTTTTGAGCAATAAACTGTATATCCCATGCACGACAAAAGAACCAACGATACGGCATGTAATTTATACCAAATGAAAAAAGTGCGGGATATTCCATTGAATTACAATGCGAAAAACCTGGACTTGCTATGTTTCCCCGATTTATATCCAAGTGGAAAAAATGGACAAAGTGAGGAAAGAAATACAT